AACAATGTTATTGTTGATGTCATCTATATTGGTAATCAACCAAGGATTATTGGTTTGGATCATTAATTTTCTAACTGCTTATAGGATAACCCAAGTCTCTCTCCTTTTCTGATTTCTAGCCAAAAAGATATAACGTTATCTTTACACTGTTAGTCATTGTTTTAAAACGAAGAAAACCCTTGAATTACTCAATTTATAACCCTGACAAAGTTCAGGTACCCTTAAGCAGCTTCATTTCTCATTTTACAACTTGAACCAGTCGATATAAATATTTATAGCAAAACACACATAATGAGAACCGGGATCACTTGCCGTTTGACTACTCATTCATCACCAAGTTACTTTCTCGACGCATCAAGATGAGTTTGTGAGATTTAAAGATTTTTTCTTCCGTAATATAATTTCAAAGCAGATAACTTAGCACAAAATGTTTAAGAAAATATGTGTGATATTAGTTATGTAAATTATGTACCTCCCGTTTGGATTTATGACCGTTTTAATTTAATTATATATATTGTATGTGACAAAAAAAATGTTGAAGTTATTTTCCTGCGAATACAATGGTTGAGTTAGAGAAAATAATGTGTAGTTAACACTCTAACAAACTTATCTTATCCATTCCAATCTAACTAACAAACTAAACCCCTATATATACCTCACTTCACAGTTGAAACTTGAAAGCTGAACACAAACACACACACACGAATACACGATTTATATTTCTACGCTTCAAGGAAGATCACAAACAAGAGAAGAATGTCACGACCGTGTCCCGATGATTTTTAATTTTTGCGCTGAAATGTTTTTGGATCGAACATGAAAAATGAAACATAAGAAAATTTTATTTAAAAGAGATTTAAAAGGATTGGCTTATATAACGTTTCTTCTTCAACGCTAAACGAACCCATCAAGCCCAATTAACCCATCAAAAACCCTAATCATCCACTATATAAAGGGAGAGGATATGAGACTTAAAGACCAAGAATGCAGTTGCGGCGAAACCCTGGCCGTTTAACTTTTCACCTCGTAAACCCTAA